ATCTAAGCTAAAGCCAGCGCGGGATCTTGCCTATTTGAAGAGATCCATTCCTGACATGGCAAAATATCGCATTGCTCACCTACTTCTTAAGGCATGGGCTAAGTCCCGAGGGTTATATTCCTCAAAATTTGGTCTGCTTGGGGGGATTAACATATCTGTGATGCTCGTGCCCATCTGCAAACTACTAGCATATAATGGGGCAAACGTAGGAACTATCGATATCTTGACCACATTTTTCCATCACTACCGAAATTTTGACTGGAGGAGGAACATGGTATTCGATCCGTTGTTTCACGGTACTATCAAGTACCACCGCACACAGCGAGAATCCATGTGCCTGCTGGGCTGGCATACACCCTCTCTAAATACAGCGCTCAATGCTTCATATTCTACTATTCACACACTTTCTGCGGAACTAATGCGAGCCAGTGATCTCTTGTCGCAGGAAGGGGTCAACTGGGATACATTCCTGCGCGGAACGCAACCACCATTGTCATTCCCTGAGCTTACAGCTTGTAATGCAGCGAGCTTTTTGGACGCATACAGGAGCTATGTCAAGATTGATGCGAGCTATTGGGGCTCCTCTCCTAGCAAAGGCAGGAGGTTCGTTGGCTGGTTAGAATCCCGGTGTGTCATGGTCCTAGTTGGTGAGTTGTTTTGCCTAGGCTGCCAGCTACTCTATCCTCTTCGGAAGCTAACTATTTCATCACGTAACAGACATGAACAGGAAGCTTACAGATCTCGTGGCTCGCATTTGGCCCGCAAGATTCACTCTAAACGCCTCACACAGCACTGCTGATATTGGAAATGAAGAGTTCAACTATACTTATCTGATCGGCTTGACATGGCAGCATGACGACATTGAGAACAAGTCTAGAGAGGACACTCAACACGCAGAGAAATCACTCAGTTTAATTCTCAGGGACTTTGAGAATCGCCTACGTCGTGATCAGAAATACTTCGATCCTTGCTCTTGCTGGATAATGACATCACTGGTCAATGCCCACGGCGTACGGCAGTTCCAGTTAGACCCCCGACCGTGGAAGGACGACAATGCGGGAGACACAGACTCTGAAGAGGATTTGGAACTTGTTGACAACGAGTCTGATGATGGCAAAGAAGAGCCGAAGGCTGGAGCTGCAATGTCCCTGGCAACGCCGAGTTCGGACCCCGTATGGCGCAAAGCATCACCGTCGGTTCTCAAAGCAGGTGGATCAAGAAAGCTTCGGACTGCAGCAGATGTTATGAATCGCCTACGCTGGGACTCTGCAATGGACGCCAGTAACTATTTGGTTGGCTATGAGGACAGATTCACGGGAGCCAAGGAGAAGGCCTTGGAACAATGGAAAAGCGAGCAAACCGACGAGGAATTCATTCCTCAGCATCGCATTCTATATTTTAAGAGAAAGACGGACGGCTTTTTTGTTTGGGAAAGAAGCACGAGGATTGATCACATCTTTGGCAGTGGAATGTAATCTAAGAGCGTTTCTTTAGCTAAGTTGGAGCCAGTAGAGAGATTGATATCGGTAGCGAGTTTAGTGGCATTTGACAAACTAAAGAGGGCATCACCTTTGTCGGTCTTTTTTCTTTGGGAGGCCGACCAAGTGAAACGCCACATTAACCATTGCGATTCTGTAAAATATTCATACAGATACTGATATTAGGCAGAAAGAGGCAGAGGCTTAACAAGGTTCCATGAATTTGTCAATCACGTGCCCTTATCGAGCAGTTCATACACTTAAGACTTATGCAGATGTGAGGTTAAGTTCGCCTCTATGCCTGCCACCCAAGGAATAAAACTTCACTTATCCGGGGAACTCATGCATTTGAGCAGACAACAATAAATGCCCCAAAACTAACAACTCCAGAAGCGCAACGCGAAATGGGTGAGGGAAGGTCGGTACACCGCTACGAGAAACACGCAATGCGTTTCCAAGATGACCGTTACTCTATCGGCCGAGAAAGTCGCCTTCACCGCCCTTGAGAATTTATTCGTCACCTTGACGAGAGGTGTGCTGTTTGGGAATACAAGCGAGCATGCACAATCTCCCTTTTGTTAAGCTGCACAACCAAGAGATGAATGCCAAAATTAATTTCCACACCTCATCAGGGACTTGTCAAGATGCAAGACTAAGAAAAACAGACGCAATGGATGACTTGTCGTATTTTACATACTTCCCTTTGCCCTTGTCAATATCATGATATCGGTCCCAAAACCTGTCATACAGTGGTTGCAGCTTCTGACGGATATCTTTGCCGAACATGGACCGCACGTCAGGTTCCATACTGTAAGATTTGTGCCTGGCAACCATTTCGTCAAATGCAGCATTAAACTGAGAGAACTTCTCCTTGATTTTGTCCTTATCTTTGCTACTAAGGCTTTTGATGACCGAGGCTGAGTCTGCTGCCTGGCCAGACGTGGGTCGCTGAGTGCGATTGGTGTGAATTGTATCGAATAGATAGACAGACAAATCTCTGCAAACATCCGTGTATGCCGCTGTTGCCTTTTTGCGCCACTGGTCCAGCACTTCGAGCCGTGACTGTAAAAGAGGCCCGAGATCTGAATCTCGTATCATCCGCTCAACTGTTACAACGCTATTGGCCAGGAACACCCCTGCGACGGATTTACCACGAAGCAAAATTTTTGCTTTCTGGTCTAACGTAGACAAAAGGGTATCGATAGTGTCCAGACAATAATGCCCAAAAATCTCTCTCCCATCCGCACCGATATCAAAGGATGCGAGGCTCGGGATGACATCTGCGGATCGGCCAGCAGACGCAGAACTCGACTTCCAGCCTCCATCGCCAAGAGAGATCATGATACTAGAGATTGGACGGAGAAACTCCACCATGGCCTGCAGTCGTTGCATCGTGTCTGCCACGAGGGGTATGGAAGCACCATCAGAAGGCAGTGTCTGCAAGCCGCCAGCCTTTCTTTTGGTATCCTCCAACAGCTCGGAAAGTGATGCCTTGGCGGTTTCCCGTACGGGTTTTAGCGCTGCAGCCAGAGAAGCTTTGAGTTCCCCCGTCCTTGTCTCTAAATTCCCTAGAAGGCCCGAGAGAATTTCGGTTATTTCATATGCCAAATAGCAGTCAGTGCCGAGATGGCCTTTGATGTGAGCATTGAGTTCTCGGACAGTACGCGCAAGCTCGGACAATGCTGCCTGGCAAGTGCCTTGAAATACCGGTCCCCAGTCTTCGCGCTTGAATATGCTGCAAATATTGTCATACTCCGATAGGAAAATAGCTTCCATGGCCTGGGCATACGTGCCAATGCCATTGGTTCCCACCCTATATATTGCGCCGGGATTCTTTTTCTTGGCTGTATTCACACTCGCGGCGGCCAGGTTGGCAAGAGATGACGACAAATACGGGCCACGAACTTCGGCATATATCTTCGACGCCGGCGAGTCGTGACCGACAGGCTTCTGGCCGCCAGCTAAGTAGGCATAGACGAGGCCCAATCGAGCAATCTTGTCTTGGGGTAAAACTGGGAATGGTTTATCTTTTGTAATGTAATGTAGAGGTTCGATGGATCTAGGCGTTTCACCCCGTAGAAGCTTGTCAAAGTAGCTCTCTAGTTGTGAGTTGCCTGACTTTATGAGCCGTGTAAGATCAGTCATTGTGTGCTGGTTCGCTCTCAAGTTGGATGCTTGCATCTCTCTGTGCGACTTATTGAGTCTCTTCAACGAGGCTAGGTAACTTGACAACCCGGCCTTATCTGGCCCGGCACGGATAATCTGCTCTTCGTTATCTTTACTATCGGCAGGTTGGCGTAGTCGATCGATGGCGGAGAGAACAGAGTCAACATCTGCTTCAACTTAGTGCATGATGCAACAGAATATCAATAAGTCGGGCCATACTATTTCCAAGTAGCTGTAAACGTCTGGTTTCGCTACTAAGCGGACCAGCAACATCGCGGACACTCTGGCCAGAGACCTCCAGGCGACCGAGGCTGGCCTGAATCTTCTTGGTGAGCTGCGTGGTTTTCTCCAGGCGAGAGTTTAGGACATCGACCTCAGCTCTCGCCTCTTCATCAAGCGTGTGATGGGTCATGGTCGAGAGACCCACCGCCATAGTCAGTGTTGATTCAGGCACAACTGAAGAAGAAGGTAGACCAAGGCCGGAGTAAGAATCGAGGGCTTCTGCGATATACGAGGCATGTGAAGGAGACTGGTCACGCGCACTAGTCCACCTAACGCTGGCTGCGCTCGCTTGTTGGTGCTGGTTGACCAAATTGATCATTGATGTTCCGTACGGAGTAAAAATGGCGGGAGCTTAACGATTTGACGACTGACACACACGATGACTGGTGAGCATACCCTGCCCCACGGACGCCCTGGTCAAATGTACATACCTCTAAGTACCTAGGTAGGTACTCTGTACCTGTATGTACTCTGTACATGACACCTAGAGGACGTAAAGTTCTGGAGCTCTTAGCCTCATTCCGCGCGTCTCACCAAATCCCTGTCATCCGGCCAACCCTCCCAAAGTCAGCTGCGGCATCGGGGGACCTCGAAAAAAAAAAAAAACAAAGGCTCACCAAACACCTCGAGTCACTTACACCCGGCCACTGCCCATAGTCTGCAGCTATTCGTGTACTCTGTACTCTGTACACCACGTACTCCCCACTCACTGGTATTGACTTCTTCCAACATTGGGCCATGACGGAGGTGTGAAAAGCTGAGGGAATAAAGAGACCTCGGCGCTTCTGCAAAGAGTCAATGCAGCTGCAACACGCCTTAGACGTGCCCAGTTGACCTTCTCCGCCCGCCTCTTGCGGAGACCCCAAATCCTTTCTATTAGCAGACCCTGCCAGATCCAACTACCTACGAGAATCTGTGTCCTGCTGGTGCTCTATCTTGCGATGCGAACAAGTTCTTTTCCTGCGTCATGGCTTGGGGTTGTCTTGGAAACAGCATCTCTAGCGGGGGCCATGGGGTCCCTACGGTACTAAAGATGTATCTATTTAATCAACTCCGCGGCTGGCAGCATCAACGATGCCGGTGCGGTGTTGCGCCTCTTCTAAGCATGATACCAAGCTCCATTTATAGATGCCGGCAAAGTGACACTGTTCGTCAGCTATCAAGTCCATCTGTATCCCGAGCAAAGAAACAAGCTCTAGACAGAGTGAGGGCTTCTCCCTTTGTGATAGAGACATCTGGTCCCGTGCTAACAAGTTCGTGTCAGGATGTCATTGTCTCCGTGCTCGAGGCTTCAGCAACGCGGCGAGATGCAAAAGGCTACCTTCAAAAATATGCCTCGAAGAAGCCTATTTCTTCAGACCTTTCCAGGGCCAGTGCGAAGGATAGTGAGGCCGTCACGGCGAAAGGAGATGGCCTTGAGCCTGTCAATGTTGCTATCGTCAAACTGCGATTACCCCAAGAACTATCCCCAGACGCTCTATATGGCATTGCAAGAACTTTGTCACAACTTCGAGTGCTTGGCCTGCTAGCTCTTGTGGTTGTGGACTGTGGCATTGCAGCTGATCGCCAAACATTTGACAACGAAGCCTTTCGGCTTTGTGAAGCGATTGACTCGTTTGGCAGTCCAGGTGCTAAATTAGCCGACCATGTGTTTCTGAGACGACATACAAACGACAACCCATCCGTAGTGCCTAAATTCCGCTGTGGTATGCGTGTTGAAGACCTGGGTTTGCTTAATCGAGCGCTACAACGCGGCATGATTGTTGTGGTTCCGTCGCTAAGTAGACAAGATGAGATATCTTCACCGATACCTGCAGAGGCGAACGAAACAACGATTACTTTAGCCAAATTTCTAACGGGTCTACAGCTAGATGGTATGAACGGCGAGTCAATAGACGGAGTAGCAGAGTATTTACGACCAAAAAGGATTGCGTCTGTTGAGCGAATAATTCTCCTGGACCCTGTCGGTGGAACTCCCATGGCTCTCCGGCCCGACGTTTCACATAGGTTCATAAACCTTGAGCAAGAGTACGGAGAATTGATTGGTAGTCTGAAGAGCGGCGAACGCATAACGCGCATTGCGAATGTCCAAAGTCACATCGCAAACCTGAGCTTGGCAAAAGACGCTCTTTCATTGCTACCGCCGACTTCATCAGCTCTTATTACTTCGCCTCACGCGGCTGCCAATACTAGGTCCGGTATTTCATCAAAACTGCCCATTCGCGCGTTAGGGCACCCACCTTTTGGTTTTGATAATATGGTCACATCCCGAAACCAAAAGAACCCGTTACTGCACAACTTGCTGACAGACCGTCCCGCTTTCTCTCCGTCGCTTCCTCTGCAACGAATTCAAGACGAGACGCGTGGATGTCTACAAAATGCGGAATCCGGGTCTGCAACATTAGTCAAGCGGGGAATGCCAGTAACAGTATATCCGGACCCAAGGGTTCATCCATGGCAGCCCCCAAACCCCGGTTTGCCTCGTCTCCGCCTCACGGACAACTGCATAGACCTCCCTCGACTTTTTCACCTAATTGAAGACTCCTTCAACCGAAAACTTGACGCACAACACTACTTGAAACGAGTGAATGAGAATCTGGCCGGCATTATCATTGCGGGCGAGTATGAGGGCTGCGCCATTCTAACTTGGGAGCACCCCGAGACTCTTGATGAGCAAACTGCGTATGATTCTGGTCGATTTGTTCCATACCTGGACAAGTTTGCGGTTTTGAAAAACCGGCAAGGTAGCAGTGGAGTTGCTGACATAGTCTTCAATTCCATGGTACGGGATTGCTTTCCGAGTGGCGTTTGTTGGAGAAGTCGAAAAAATAACCCTGTCAATAAATGGTATTTCGAACGGTCTACGGGGACATGCAAGCTTGCGGATTCGCACTGGACGATGTTCTGGACGACAATTGGCCTTGGAAACCGGCATCCAACCTTGCAGGACTACGAGTCTGTATGTCGAGAAGTTCGGCCATCGTGGGCCGAAAATACGCATACCTCGGACTAATAGAAGGTTGTCTTCATGGAATAGAAGGATAGCATGATTGGCGTTGAATGTTGCCTGCTTAAATTAAGTGTGCCGGTCAACGGGACAACAATTTGTGCTTCTCGTCTCTGATATCCTGCAGGCAATGCGAATAATCTTTGGAGTTGACTCCTCGGCTAGATACTATGCCTCCTTAGAGTACTTGCAATAGATATCTGCTACGAGAAGTGCGTAGCGGAGGGTTGTGGAGCGTATTCTTCAATATTGACTCAATTCACTGTGTCACGATCGCTTGATGAAGTGTTGGTGCCATCTGGTGAGTATACAGAGCAATAATAATAAGCTGTAGTCAACTGAGTTTTGTTTTTCATCTGACCCCCCGCCAAAGGACCCAATTAAAACTGTGATGTACATATTGTCACTATTCTCGTCACTATCACAGCTTCATCCCGCCGGTTAGCCAGTGACAAGATCTGTCTCGTACCTAGGTAGGTACCCATGTTCTTACCAATCACGTGCTAGGCCTCACCAAGCAGTAGATACCTATACTCGCGCGGCCCATAATTGTAGTGATAACATAAATGTTATAAGGGCCCTCCGCGATGGGGATAAACTAAGTCATAGTGTTATGTTTTTTTACCTAGCTCCTCGGTGTTTCACGCGTCGCCATGCGTTCAGTGTTATTCCCACAGCTTGTTACAGTCTCAGAACCTGGTACGGCTGACATAATGTGTTACTAGTAGGCTCTCAGGAGTCACGACTATCTAGCCCTTTTTTTTTTTTTTTTTTTTCATAATAATTTAAAAAAAATAATATATTAAATTAATTAAAAACAAAAACAAAAAAGGCTAGATAGTTATAAATATAAGGTTAGTGGTAGTCACCAAAACACACACCCCTTACGCCTCCTAGTAGGTTAGTCCTAGCAAGCACCTGTTAATTTGGGTTAATTTTGTCGCATAAACCACTTAACGCGCCTGTCACGCGTCACGCGTCAACGTCTGTCCCACTTCCTGCAAGTACACCTTTCTATTCCAGTGTTTTAAACGACTCCTAAACTCATATTTCGACGTCATATATTTGTTACTGGAACTGGTAGCACTTCATTATGGACTCCTTTATGCTCGACGATGAAGGTGTTCGCGATCGCATTCGCCAGGCGGAGGACTTTTTAGATCCCAGTATGTCCTGATTTGACAACCCTGCCTCTATTCCAGAAGCTTTCTTCCACGCCGCTGACCTGATAACGCCCAGGTGATCCTCATGCACGGAGCTACAGATCGGACATCATTTTGATGCTTCAGAAAAACCAGCGTCGCCTAACCGTGAACCTCGATCATGTTCGCGACCACAACAACAAGCTTGCTCAAAGCATACTCGATCAACCTTTCGACTATCTCCTGGCCTTCAACCATGCCCTGAAGAAGATCGTGGAGACCGTACCTCAAGCGCGCCCAGACCAGACCGCTAAAGACACCGTATACTACTGCGCCTGGGCGGGGAGCTTTGGTCTCAACTCGTGCAATCCCCGAACACTCTCCTCGCACCACCTTAATCACATGGTGTCCCTGGAAGGCATTGTCACTAGATGCTCCTTGATCCGGCCAAAAGTTGTCCGCAGTGTACATTACAACGAGAAAGCGGGAAAATTTCATTTTAGGGAGTACCAGGATCAAACAATGACGAACGGAGTTACTACCTCAAGTGTATACCCTCGAGAGGATGATGAGGGCAATCCGCTCGTAACTGAATACGGTTTTTGCACGTACCGGGACCACCAGACAGTTTCCATTCAGGAGATGCCAGAGCGCGCCCCGGCTGGCCAGCTGCCCCGTGGAGTTGACGTCATTCTAGATGACGATTTAGTCGATCGAGTTAAGCCAGGTGACCGGGTTCAAATTGTTGGCATCTTCCGCACTCTAGGCAATCGAAATGCCAACCACAATAGTGCGCTATTCAAAACGATGATTCTTGCCAACAACGTTGTGCTCTTGTCCTCCAAGTCAGGTGGCGGCATTGCGACAGCCGCCATAACGGACACTGACATTCGAAACATCAACAAGGTGGCTAAGAAGAGAAATCTCTTGGAACTTCTCTCTCAATCTCTCGCTCCAAGCATATATGGACATGATCATATAAAAAAAGCAATTCTTCTCATGCTGTTGGGTGGCATGGAAAAGAATCTTGAAAACGGCACCCATCTTCGAGGCGACATCAACATTCTCATGATAGGCGACCCTTCAACAGCCAAATCTCAACTATTGCGGTTCGTCCTTAATACTGCCCCGCTCGCAATTGCTACTACTGGCCGAGGGTCCTCTGGCGTCGGTCTCACTGCAGCCGTCACAACAGACAAGGAAACGGGAGAACGAAGACTCGAAGCCGGCGCGATGGTCATGGCTGACCGTGGCGTTGTTTGTATTGACGAATTTGACAAGATGTCGGATGTTGATCGAGTCGCCATTCATGAGGTCATGGAACAGCAAACGGTGACTATTGCGAAGGCCGGTATTCACACTTCACTAAACGCTCGTTGCTCGGTTGTCGCTGCTGCAAACCCGATATTCGGTCAGTATGATCCTCATAAGGATCCGCACAAGAATATAGCACTCCCTGACTCGTTGTTGTCGCGATTTGATCTTCTGTTTGTGGTAACCGATGACATTGAGGATACAAGAGACCGTCAAGTGTCGGAGCATGTGCTACGGATGCATAGATATCGACAAGCGGGCACTGAGGAAGGAGCCCCCGTTCGGGAGCAAATGTCACAAAACCTGGGAGTCTCAGCCGATAGCCAGGTAGGACCACAGCAGCCGACAGAGGTGTATGAAAAATTTGACGCCATGCTTCACGCTGGAGTAACCCGCACGTCTGGTCGTGGTTCAGCCAAGAAGCCGGAAATCCTGAGTATTCCGTTCATGAAGAAGTATATACAATATGCGAAGACTCGAATCAAGCCTATCTTAACGCAGGACGCTTCAGACCGTATAACGGAAATATACGTTGGTCTACGAAACGACGAAATGGAGGGCAACCAGAGGAGAACGAGTCCGCTGACAGTTCGAACTCTGGAAACAATTATCCGCCTTGCCACTGCCCACGCCAAAGCCCGCTTGTCAAGCAGGGTCGAAGACCAAGATGCTGCGGCTGCGGAGGCTATTCTCAGATTCGCCCTCTTCAAGGAAGTTGTCGTAGATGAATCAAGGAAGAAAAGGAGACGGACGCAAGCTGTTGAATTTGCATCTTCAAGTGAAGACAGCTCCGATGATGGGGATGAGAGCGAGGGTGAAGCAGCCAATTCTAGGGGAGCCCGCTCAACAAGGAGCGCAACAAGGGCTATACATCCAACAACTCGATCCAGGACAGAAGTTTCCAGAGCTATTGATGGTGATGGTAACGGGTCTGTGTCAAATAATGGTAACGCTGCAGTTGTAGACAGTCTATCAACCCAGCACACGACTCCGCGCCGCTCTGGACGCAGTCGTGGGTCAGCGCTTGATACATCCCAGTCACAGACATCATTTGCATCGTCTGCGTCTGCGTCGGCGTTGTTGTCACGGACGCAGGAAGACAGTCAAATTGAGCAAGATCTCGCCTCTGAGGCTGCAGGGCTAGTGATCGATGATGCCGCGCCAATCGATACCCGCCGTGTGGCAGTTTTCAGAACAGCCCTGGGTCAGCTTCTGAATTCCGATTTGTTCGAGGACGATTCCGCAGCTCTAGATGCTGTTATTTCCGCTGTAAATCGTAAGGTTTCGAGCGGCGATGGTGGTGCGTTTGAACGGGCTGAAGCCGTAAAAGCTCTCAAGAAATTGGAGGAGGCGAATCATATTATGTTTGTGGTCCCCATGTCTAGAATTTGTGTTCTTGCACCAAACACCAGCTTTAGGCGACAGCCGTGGCTTCCTTGCCTTACAGAATTCAGGACATTGTACGACATCCATTTGATCCAGACTAACGAATTCTTTTGCTTAGGTTTGCGGATGGTGAACTGGTTTACAAGATTTAAATTTCAGGGTATGGTGGGAACATGGGAGATTGATGGCTGACGTGGGCGTCAGGGTAAATGCTGGTGTTTGACCCTTGGCTGGAGATTGCAATAAAAGGTTTACAAAACAGGCAGCCTAGGACATGTATGTTGGCTGATACGCATAGGGTGTAATCACAACATTCTTCCAGTATAATAAGCATGTAGTCCCCTAAGTGAGGAGTCGGTACATATATATTCTGTACGAATATTTTAGAGTCGTCGGTCGAATTCCTGGAGTCGTTGCTGTACCTCCTCCCCGTTCCATGTCTCTACACCGTTATCGTTCCTAACTAGTGATGGCATACCAACCTGCTCAATCGCGAAACTCGCGCTGACTGAACCCCAGGCCACTGCGTTTTCCAGCCTTTCTCCGCGAGCCAGAGCCACTGATAATCCCCCAAGAAAGGCATTGCCTCCTCCCGTGGGGTCAACAACCTTGCGGCCATCTTGGTGGTAGGCGGGAATCCATCTTTCCAATCCTGGGTCAACTTCAATCTCTTCGCGTGCGATAATTCCATCGTCATCTTGCAAGAGTCCAGCAAATAATGCTTCCATGTCTGTGTCGGGCTGCAGTGCACCGTGTATAAGTGCTTTTTGTGATTTAGAGGTCTTGCCGGGCCCTGATCTCCGCTTTCTGCCACCATTTTTGGCGATGTAGCAGCCTTTATCTCCGGCTCGGACAACAAGGGCATATGACTGCAGCGGCATACTGGCTAGTAACTGTTCACAGGCACGTTCCACGCTTAGCGTCGACACTTCACCAGTCTCGGGGTCAAGTCCGTCATCGCCCATGAAGCCTGCCAACTCAGCATGGTTGGGGCTACATATATCTACAAGGCGTAGTGTATTTGTGCAGTTGAGTAGTTCATCTGGCGTACAGAGATCAGGGACAGGCTCCCAGACGAATATGGGTTTGGTGTACGAGTCTTCCGGCGCGGCAAGCGCCTTGCGACATGACAGGATGTCGGTTATGAGCTCCTGGCAGCGAGATGGGGAGCAAATCAGATGAAATGACTTGGAGAATAAAAGATTCGGTGTGAGATCTTCCGAAGTAATGCGCTTCTTCGGTGTGGTATACTTAAAGGCTCGCCTGTCCGCTGGGCCGACATAGCCATTCCATCCTCTGGTTGTGAGACGGTCGAAATCGTCGCGTATGACTGCACCAGTGTCCCAGTTATCAATCAATGTTGAAAGTTTGTTGGGAAAGTCAAAGCCTTTGTCTACAACCCAGCCAACAGAGCGGGACAATGGCGGAGGGGAGAACAGACGGGCTCCGAGGGCTGAGTATGTACCTGCTCCGCCAGGCACGTCGCGGACGGGGGGAGTTGGAGGTTGAAAGTCTATATCGTCTAGTCCAGATGGTCAGTTGCTGCGTTAACATTTGCGTCCGTTTCGGTGTATCCTGCTCGATTCACAGGTCATATAGCTCGACATGCAACGCGGAGCTTTCGTGATGGCGTTCACAACATGGTCAGGAAGCTTTGTGTGGCTCACCGATTATGAACATCCCAAGAGTGACAAAGTCTATTTGAGTTATGGTGTTGTTTTCGTCGGTCTTTTGCGCGCAGCAATACGTATCTTCATCTCGGCTTGCCATCTCCCCGCGCCACGCTCTAATAATGAACTTTGAGTACTCCGTAATCGGGCCCTTTTCCTTGACCAGCTCACACGCAAGAGACGTCTACTCTGTGTGGTCTGTCTGTTGGATGAGAATGTGGTACGTCGCTGGTTCGCGCCGTTTCGTTCCTGCGGCATGGCAAGGAACAAGTTGCACCTGTGCTTGCTGCCAATGAATTTGTCCTCGAACCTTCACCTCACACCGCCCGTTGTTCACGCGGCTCTCCTCGGCGGCGGGTGAATGCACGTGTCTTGATGTGCGCTGCGAGGGCTTGGTTTTTAAGTGTGGCATCTATACATAGCTGTCCTTGTTATCGCGCCGGGACTCCTGTCGCTCACTATTAAAACTGTTCTTTCTTTTCTTTTTTGTCGAACCCCTCCTCTTTCTTTTTTTCGCTCGACAAATATAAGCCCGAGACTGTGGGGACAAAGAAACAGGCCGGGGATGAGGGTACGGGATGGTATAACAAACCTCACCGATACCTACCTAGGTAGGTATTTGGGGTAGTGCCATCCAGTCAATTAATACGACAAGATGGTTTACCACGAATGGTGGGAAAAAGCGACCTAGGTAGCCAACCACATTGTTTGTATAGTAAACAAATGAAGCCAGTGAAGAGGCTCGGACGAGATACCACCACACTGCTTAAAAGTTGGAAAAACATAAGGTGGCTGCCTGAACCGTATTTGATATCTTAAGTACCTACCTACCTACCTAGGTAGGTACCTAGGATACCCACCCGGTACATAACTGACGCCCACGCTACTGTGCCTGATCCAGCGAATTCGGTGCATTTTGTTCCCCCATAACGAATGCTAGAGCTGGACTCCATTGGATGGGCTCATGATAAAAGAGAATATTCACCAAACTCATCGGAAACAACGAATTTCTGCTCTACGGCAGGCTTTTGAAAGATGAGCCTAGGCACATACCTACCTAGGTAGGTTGGTCTTCAACTTAGGCACCTACTGTGGCAGGCCAATGAAACACGTGGTGTGGCAGACTCAGGCGGAAGCCCTGGACGGTTGCCTGACGAGACCAGCCGCTTGCCAAGGAGCTAGCCACACGTGCAGGTCCATCCGACTGCCAGTAAACTCAGTTGCTGTCATCGCCTCCTGGATAATCCAAAGTTCTACATATACGACAGGTCGCCCCTAACCACCGTATAAGCTACTACAATCTGGACGAGCACGGCTCTGCACGATCAATTGTACCCCCATCCCCTTTTCTATACACAAAAAGGTAATATTTCGTATGCCTGCGGATTCTTTGGTTCTATAAACCCCGCCGGTTTTTGTGCTTTTCTTTCGCAGCTGCTAACAGCAAACCTTCCATGAACAGGCAAGGACACGACACCGTCCCTGGAGTATCAGAAATAAATCGCGCATTATTCCTACCGGACGCTCCTTTCGTAGCTCAAATCACACCCTCGCTGCTATCTTTGAAGTTACAGTTCAAGCACTACTCGACTGGAGTATTCGATGAACGTGCTGGAGAGTACATGACGAAGATGGCGGCCGCAAATAACATGCACAATCTCACCACACTCATCAAGAGGTAAAAAACTGGCCTATGTGCAGACTTGCATTCACGGTAGCATCATGTTGGATTGCTGAACTACCTGGCAGACTCGAAGCTGCGACCTCGCGCCTCGAAGACATTGCGACTTCAACCGAACTACCTAAAGACGTCCCCGCCCTGAAGCAGGCCATTGCCTCCCCGGCAGTCGAGTCGCAGGCGCCTACACCCCCCCAAACGGCTGCAGCTTCCGCCAAGACGACCTCAAGTCAATCCGAGGATCCTGTCCCGGAATCAATCGAAGAGTTCCAACAATTCATAAGCTCGTCCGTGGGCAAATATGTCAAGATTAGCACTGAACTGGGCGGTGTAGTTGCTAAACAGGTTCGAGCCATTCTTGAATGGGCAAAGCTGTTGACTGTCGTTGATCAGATGCTAATGTCAATGCCTTTGTACAGGCTGTCGAGGTGCTTAAAGGATTCCAAGAACAGAGAAAGTTTTTGCTGATTACGACCAAAGCCACAAAACCCGACGCATCGACGTACCAGACCATTCTCAAACCAACAAACGATGCGTTGATGGCCGTAACCGAGCTGAAAGAGTCGAACCGACCCGATCCCATGTATACTAACCTGAGTGCTGTCGCTGATGGCATCATGATGCTTGCTTGGATTACCCTGGATAGCCGCCCCCACAAGCACGTGGAGGAGAGTTTGAGCTCAGCCCAGTTTTTCGGAAATCGGGTGCTTAAAGAACAGAAAGACAAGTAAGCAAAGGCCTTCGTATCCTTGTTATTTGCACTGCTAAGCAGAATCCAGAGATCCAAAACAGGTCGAATGGGTACAGTCATTTTACCAAGTCTTCAGCGACCTCGCCGATTATGTCAAGCAAAATTTCCCGTCGGGAGTTACTTGGAATGCCAAAGGCAAACCAGCCGGGGATGTAGCCAAATCGTTCCTGCAGACGGCCACGGCACTAGGCACACCAGATGCTGGAGGCGCATCGGCGCCGCCTCCTCCTCCGCCGCCTCCTGGACCAGCTCCTATGCTTGACATTAAAGCTGAACCCGTCCCTGAGGCGTCGGTATCTTCTGGTGGGTTCGACGCTGTATTCTCCGAGTTGAACAAAGGCTCGGCTGTTACAAAGGGACTCCGGAAGGTAGACAAATCGGAAATGACACACAAAAATCCTTCCCTGCGCGCCAGCAGTGCTGCAGACCCAGATGGCCCGTCTCGAGGCAAGAGTCCAGCCCCCGGCAAAAAGCCAAAGCCAGAAAGCATGCGCGTGAAGAAGCCTGCTAAAAAGGGTTTGGAAGGAAACAAATGGACAATCGTAAGGGTTATGCGATCCGTACAGAAAATTCTCTATCTGACAATTATCCTAGGAAAACTACGACAGAGAAACTCTACCAATTGAAATTGAAACTACCTTGACCCAGTCTGTATTGATCAGCAGGTGTAATAACACAACTGTAATACTGAAGGGTAAAGCAAACCAAGTTACTGTGGAGAACTCAACCCGCCTTTCCCTCGTTGTTGACACCCTAGTTTCCACGGTGGATGTAGTAAAAGCTCAAAATTTTGCATTGCAGGTTATTGGGACTCTCCCAACCGTTATGCTGGACCAAGTCGATGGCGGCCAGGTTTACTTCAGTAAAGAGAGCATTGGGACCAGGGTATTCACCAGCAAGTCGTCCGGAATCAATCTCAACATCCTGTCTGGGCCAGATGACGATTACAAAGAGGTGCCTCTCCCGTCTCAAATTTGTTCATACTACGACGAAAATAAAGGTGACCTCATAAACGAGATCGTGGCCCATGCTGGCTAGACACACTTCACAGCTTTATGAGCCATCAATGCCGGGTTTTATTTTAGACTATGTACTTGGGTAGAAGGCGCAAATTATGCTGTGGTTGACAAAACTACTCAACGGGGAAATACTAGCAGCAGATGCAGGATCATTTGAATGTAAGCTTCGCACCTAAGGAGCCGCGCTAAGAGCCTCCGAGGTTTCAATATCACAACTTTACTACTCTTTTTCATAATGCCGATGCTCTTACCCAAAGCTAGTGCAAATAGACAGTGTATAGATGGAACTACAATACAAAATGCAGCAACTATTTCGGGGACCGCCTTTGGCGGTCCGAGATGGGACCCCAGTTTTCCCCGTTTAGTCGCTTCTGACACTGAGCCATTCCTGCCTGCTGCCTCTTCGTGTCTCCAAACCAAGCAACAAGCCTTATCATATCGCGAAAGCCCCTCGTTGATATCGCTCGTATCTTACAATTTGGCCTTCGGCGAGGCTACCGTTGGCATCAATAGGTCACGCATTTCCCCAGCGGCTTCGTTTAGATAGTAACTCATGCGGTCGCTGCCAAGGCTCTTTGATACGACATTGAAATTAATGCTAGAGAGGGATCAGCAAGGAGACACTCTTGTATAGGTGAAGAATCACACTCACCTGTTCTCATTGATCATGTAGGCGATGCCAAATCCTCCGTCGATGACTTGACTCCAACCATAGCCGTTGAAGAATTCTGAGCTGAGTTGGGATGTTGATAGGTACCAAGAACTGGAGTAGCCGAAGGCGGGGTCTTTGTAGATGGCGGGAACCTCCTCATCTGGTGCCAAAAGTTTCTTTAGACCAAACAGATGTCTGTCCGCGCCTTTGCCATCGGATGCAGCTGTAATATACTCAAGGTGAGCGTCGATAGCACTGCGAAACAAGTTTATTCGTGCTTGATCATCTTGTGACGCGTCAGACATAGACTTGCACCACGCCACGGATTCATCTGAGACTGTCCGACAGGTTTCTGTTCGGCCAAGTTGGAAGCGACGGGTTGCTGCAGATTCATACGTTGGGCGATTCTTGCCATACATCTTGAAGTAGGCCAATTGAATAATCATTTGGACATACGCATCAGGGGAGCATTTGAACTTCTTGATTAGACCTTTGCCATAACCCTGGTATGCTTGCACGGCTAGTTGATGCTGGTTGATGACGGTATGGAAATCAGTGACAGCACGGTCAATTTCGGCTTGGATTGGTGCGGTAATGTCAAATTGGATCAACTGTGGCTCAGGAAGATCGGAGCGGATCGAAGGGTCTGAGAAATCGATCTTGTTGCCGAAAATGAGATCGTTTATGTAGTCATTAAGACGATGCGTTGGCGTGCCATCCATCATGGAGTGTTCACCCATGAACCCTGACGTTCCATTGTCGTTGACAATGAACTGCAAAGGTTTATCATACCAGCGGTTAGCTCCATCACCATGCCAGTATTGATGGGCTCGCTCTTCCAGGGTAACGGGAGAAGCATCGTCGAGGCAAACAACGAACGAAGCCGAGTCAATGGCACGGAGAGCATCTTTGTTCTTGGCGCTTGTTTGCGCCAGTAGGTGGCGAGCGTCGGCCCAAACGTCTCGATTCTCGGAGGTCAGGGCGCCAACAGCAGGAACTCGCTGCGCTGCTTGGTAGACTTTATTGAATTGTCTTTCTAGCTCTGTAGAATTGAGTTGTTTGCCGCCGATTTCGTGGGAGATTAGGAAGAACTGATTCTTGCGAATGGCAATAATGTGCTTATTCTCGCTAGAAGAGAACTTGGCGGGATAGTCGGCAGGACGTGCAGCCATGCGGGTGGCATTGAACATCCATTTGTAACTATCCATACAAATTGGGAGTTTTTTCATATACTCCGGCTCAAGGGAGCCATTGTCGACAAGCTTCTTAAACTCCAAGACGGCAGAAGTGATGGCTGCTGCTCGCTTGGCTGGATCTCGGCGCATGCGATCATCACGGTGAGAGTAGAAGTAGCTGACGTAGGGCACAACAGGATCGCGGTATGCTAGATAAGCAGCATCGTTCCACCACTCGTAGATCCAATTCTTAGTCGCCGGATCTTCACGCTTTGCAATGAGCTTCTCCTGGAGCTTATTGCCAATACCGCCAGGCTTGATGAAGTCCTTGACGGCAGCCTTACTATTTGAATACTCAGTGGCAGACAGTAGAGGGTGGAGAGACTTCAAGTATCGTTTCGCCGTCTCCTCAAGCGTGGGAACGGGCAACCGAGGCAAAGAGTCCTGAAAGCGCAACATTGCACCTTTGGACTTGTCCTCAGAATAGCCTAGCAAAATTCGCGACTGGTCAGTTTCAAAGTCTCTCCCTGTGTACGTTTGGACAAGGAATCCTGAAGAGGGCAAACTTGTAAAGAGAGGACGTTAATTACCGGGAGGAAGAGAGCTGTTACTGCGCTTAGCCGAAGCCATGACGGGGATCTGCCAGAAAATCAAGTTAGCCTTTTGTCACCGTCACCAATTGCAAATAGCACCCGTGCTGACGGACTGTAAGCAATGACAAGCGAGTTCGTCGAAAGTTGTTTCTCAGTGCGTGAGAGCGAGCGGCAGATGTCAACATGGCCGGCTACAAGCGGTCTGATATCCACGCGATGAGGAAGGGCGGTTGTATTTAGGAGAGAAAGACGTGGGTGGGATGGGGGCGGCGTTGACTTTCAGCAGCGACCGCGGCGCTTGGAAGACCAGTTGACCTCTCTTTGGCCTGCTAGGGTGACTTAAGTATTCTCCTGTCCGGCCACAACGGCTGGTTCCTGGTTTGCTGGTGCCGGAGACGAGAAGCTACGAGGGACTGGTGTGAGTGGATTGGCTTTCGAGCATGTGGTTTCCCCGTTCAATGCTCCCACAAGAGCTTGCTTGCTGTCATTTGGCCCGCCCGACCCCGGCCGGCTTCAATGTTGCGCCAATAGCGGGTCTTGTAGCAACATAGCCGAGGTAAAACACCGGTTGGCCTGCTGAGAAGACCGCCGGGGACCGACGTGGAGCTCTTTTGAGAGGATACTTGAGAACGGTGCCCATGAAGCTGGTCCAGCGCACGATACCTACTTAGACGTACATGTACCTAGTAGTTACTCGGCAGCCAGCTGAATGGCAACTCTACGTGGGTGCCGCTCATACATATTCTCATCCTCCGTCTTCATAATATAGGACCTGTTGTGTGGTCCATGCTACTTCATACGGTGGACAGAACTACGCATATCCTCCGTCAAATTTGAATACTGTACTGACTATCTAGTATATTTGACTTGGGAAGGCTACCTTTGTTGGGTGACAATTGTCTCAATACGGCTCCTGGGTTAGCCTCCGTATCATATTAGCGGAAAAAGATTACGCAATGAAAGGGACAAATAAACTAAGACCAGAAAGCACGTCCAATTCAAAAACAAAAGCAGCGGCGTCTCTTCCGACACCAAACTCCGTAACTAGTAGTACACCCCTGTTACATTAAACAACGGCCAGAATAACGCGCATGAAGTTCTGCGAGCCTGGACACAACACCCTGATTTATTCGACAATTCCATGAAACCAGACGCCATGAAACCAGACGCCCGTACCGCATTCCATCCGCCATGCACCCGTAGTGGCGCATCATGTTCATCATATTATGCTTCGTAGCTTTTCATTTGTCCATTGCTACTAGGTGCTTGGACGGATGGCTCTCCAGTTACGGGTTGGAAACCCAACTTTTCTCCATCAGGTAGAAGAGCTTCCTGTGCCATGCGAATGCCTTGGTCGCCACCTATGGTAGTTGCCGTCTTCAAACTCTCCATGGCTTTGCCTACCCGGCGCTTGAAAGCCAACCTGTCCAAGAGCAATTGCTGTCGACCCCGCTCCAACTCACGCCTTTCTGCTCGAAGAATACCTTCAATCTCATTAAAGTATTTCAATTTAAGCTCCAGCTTTTGCAATGTTACGTTTGTAGCAGCGGAGACAAGTCGTGTCATCTCTCGTTCCTCATGCGAAGCAAATCCCGCTGCGCGAGCTCCAATAGACGCCAAAGGTATGGATGCAATCGATCTGTTTTTCGTGGTGGTCGTAGTGGTCGTAGTGGTTGTGGTCACCTCATGACGCACATCCACATCCATCGATTCGCCTCCATATCGTGTTTGTTCTTGTTCCCTGGATACACCAGATGCCTTCTCGCCACCATTGCTTGCACCATTGGATTCTTGGTTGCGTTTACTGCCGTTCAATTGCTTTTGCAAACCTTTCTTCAACTCATCGGCTGACTTGTTGGCAGCCGCGGCGGTGCTTGCAGGGTCCGCTAGACTTGCCAGAAATCCAACAACAGACATGACTGGATTGTCTACTTGGCTGAAGGGCAGATGACCGTGTTGTGCCCCGAGCATAGACAAGCCGGTAGGTGCACTCATAGGCACCTCCGAATCCAAATACTTCTCTTCAATATCCAATTGCAAGAATTGGAGCACACATTCCTCCCGCGTCCTCGTACCAACGTGATCAGCAATCTCTCCCCAGTCGTCATCAAATCGTTCCAAGCCTTCCAGTAGACGAAGAATTTCGGCATCGGTCCAAGGCGCATCCCGATCCACGATAGATGTATAAGTCGGATTCTCCGTCTTAGAATACATACTTGACGTATGATTCGCTGGTAGACGACCCTCTGTGAAGCAGTTGGGACAAAGGTCGTACTTCGCTTTAGAACTGGCGTCTGTCTGGCTGCTGTGATAATAAACCCGGGTGCAATCGTTGCCACATTGGTGGCAGTTGACCTTGGAGATCGCAGACGTAGTTGCATCCTCTGTACCAGACACGCCGTTGGTAGTTGGTGTCTCTCCATTCGCTTTGGTCTCAGACTTATTCACCGACAATCCCTTCGAATTAGCTTCATAGATATTGCGACCAATCTCAAGGTTGAGATCGTTTTTAGCCCCAGCACTCGAGGCTGACTTTTTATCAGTATCCAGGTTCTTTTTTCCTTCCAGAACGATGGGATCGGCAGATGGCTGCCACGGTTGAAGGCCGCGTGGCGTATCGCATATAATCTTGAAATGACCTGTGAAAGGGGGGCCAACATGCGATGGTCGTTGTTCGGCATCCACCTATATCTCATTAGCCATCTTGCAGATTGGTCAAAAGAGAGCTAAGATAACAATTGTTTTCGTACCTGATAATTAATCAAACCCCACTGTTCCAGAAAAGCATGAACCCTCATTATGGCGCAGACGTCGCCAGCCAAGTTTCTGCGACAAGCGGTGACGGTCAGGTACTCTACTGGGTTCAGGCGATACGTGTTGATCATGAAGTCGCGGTAATCTTTGTAAACAGCAGGGGTTTTGCTTCTGTTTCGATTGTTAAAAAATTCGGCCATTGCCTTCCGTTCGATATCGTGAACGCTGTTCATATCGAACCATGTACTGTAGCTAGGCAGAACAATCGCATGAGTTTGAGAGACAAGGTGCTCACGGGCCGCTGACTCGACGTTCTCCTTCGATTTGGTTTCTTGGTTATCAGTGGCACCGTCGCCTTCAGCAGCAGTAATTCCCTTGGAACCAGGAGCAGGCATGTCACCCATTTCCGTGTCAGCGTTGACCGTTGCATCTGCTTGTAGTGCCTCAGTGCCTTCAGCGGCGGTGGCACCTGGCCCAGGAGTCGCGCTATCCTGTTTTATGTTTGCCTCGCTCGTCACGCCTTCCGACATTGGGACATCTTGGAGTCGCCTGATTAGCTTGGTGGACAAGGGGAGTTCGATGTGGTATCTCACCTTGGCTATCACCTGGTATCGCTTCGGCTTGTAGCGGGGGTTGTGCCAATATTGGGTTGCCATCTGGGGATGCACCATTGGCTGGTGACCCATACGTTGTAGAATCTTCCATGATATTTCCACAGCGGAAGACCGCTTGCGCGATGTGAAATGCTAAAAGGGTAAGGAGCAGCGAGGTGCAAAGAACGCGTCGCGCCACTCGCAACTGCCTACTTAGCGCGGGATAAATCAATCAACGTATAATATTCGGCAATCAACGCGATGCAGAAGATTTCAGAATACGAAATGTCGCCGCGATGAGACGCCGCGTACTGAGGAAAATTTGGCGCGACGACAAACGGGAGCATTCCACCTCCTCTCGGAGGACACCTACCAAATAGAATGGCGGCTAACCGTATTTGGATAATAAATCACGTGATAATAAATCATGTGATTTTGCACACCTACAGGAGTTTGCACACCTACAGGAGCCGCTTTCGGCTCGACGGAGAAGCTCGGGTGAGGGTCACGTGTTTGTGGCTTTCTCGGTCATAAAGTACATAGCTCAGGCGGGCGTTGAGCCGATGCTCGGGCCGCGTCCACCCGGCTGCCCCAACTTGGACTAATGGACAGGACTGCGAGCTTGCATCGCAGTTTGACAAGCAGTGTAGTCTTCTTTCATTACTAAAATGTACGCCCTCGCGAAATGCTCTTTGCCTCGACGAGTTGTCGGCCTCTTGTCCCCGGCGAATGCGATTCACGGAACAGCTACTAGAAGCCGGCTGTTGTCCACATTGGCGATTCTTGAACAACGCGATGGACAACTCAATCAAGGATCTTTGAATGCATTTGCCGCCGCCAAACAATTAGGGGGAACAGTCCATGGCTTCGTTGCTGGTAGCAATGTGTCTGCTGCTGCCCAGGAGGCTGCCAAAGTTGAGGGAGTGGAGCAAATTATCAAGGTTGACAGCAGTGCGTACGAGAAGGTAAGTAAATACTCCGGTCTTCTTCATTCAGTAACATAAATGTCCGTATTGATGATTGAACAGGGCCTTCCCGAGACTTACGCGCCCTTGCTCGTGGAAAATATTAAAAAGGGTAAATACACCCACGTCGTTGCGGGCCATACTGCTTTTGGGAAGAACCTCTTGCCGAGGGTGGCAGCTTTATTAGATTGCCAGCAAATCTCCGATATCACTGCCATCGAAAACGACAAGACCTTTGTGCGGCCGATATACGCTGGAAATGCTATCGCCACTGTTGAGTCTTCAGATTCTGTGAAGGTCATTACCATTCGAGGTACTGCCTTCGCCGCTGTGACTCCTGGCTCGGGGTCAGCTGCTGTTGTAGATGGCGTGGACCCCAAAGCTGATACTTCGGCAGAATGGGTGTCGGAAGATTTGGCGAAGTCAGACAGACCAGATTTGGGCACGGCTTCAAAGGTAGTCTCTGGTGGTCGTGGCCTTAAGTCTAAGGACGATTTCGACAGAGTCATGTTACCTCTCGCCGATGCACTCGGTGCTGCGGTTGGTGCATCTCGTGCGGCCGTTGATAGTGGGTATGCGGAGAACAGTCTTCAGGTCGGCCAGACGGGCAAGGTTGTAGCTCCGGAGCTGTACATGGCTGTTGGAATCTCTGGCGCAATTCAGCACTTGGCTGGTATGAAAGACAGCAAGGTAATTGCTGCAATCAACAAAGACGCCGACGCCCCCATATTTCAGGTTGCAGATGTTGGCCTGGTTGGTGATCTATTTGAGAAAGTGCCGGAACTGACAGAGAAGTTGAAGAGTAGCTGAAAAAGTAAAGTGAGGTATAATCATGAAACCTATTGTTACAAGTTTATATATCAGCGCAGTCGTCACTGAATTACAGCGAGCATGTCTCGGGTGTTTGTAAACTTTTCCCGTTCCTTTCCAAGCTCCTTGCCGCCCTGTTTTTCGGCTCTGTCTATTTGCAACCATTGGTCCCACGACACTGAGCGTTCTGTATGGGAACCCTCGTCTTGCCGTACGCCATTCCAGCCCTGTGCAGGTGTATCCCCCTTTGGTCTTAGAAACTCTGCACCGGAAATCCAATCCTGTATTATCGCCTCTGCAGTGATGAAGGCATCCTGCATGGTTGAAGCAATAACCCCAGTCGGACCCCTTTTGACCCACCCTGCACAATACACACCAGGAACTTGTTGGCAGGTGGAAGTCTGCTGGTCAATGGCCAACACCTGTGTTGCCCGACCGAGACCGTCGTTACTGACTACACCTCGAGACTCATCGAACTGAATTCCCATGGCAGCAAACTCAGGGAGGGCAACAGACTTATATCCCACCGACCGAAAGACGACATCAGAGGGCAGTTGCAATGTCTGGCCTGTTGCCATTGTCTTAGACAAGGGGTTAAATGCGTCAGTTAATTTCATGACGTTGAACTCGGTGCCTGCTACGTCCTCTGGAGATTGAATGCCTCCCAAAAAACGACTAGGAGCCAGGCAGTTGTCAAGAGACCATGATTTAGGTGCACTCTCCACGAGAGCTTCTGATCCTTTCAGGATGACCTCCATCAAACGCTTGGATGCTCGTGGCAGCGATTTCAGATCAACCGGTATCAAAGATCGATCGACAGGGTGAAATGCCACGCTAGGCAATTTCATGAGCTCACGAACTTCCTTTATAGTAAAAGCGGCCTAGCGGGAGCCGTAGTGTATTAGCAATCTTGTCGTGAATGGAACAAATGCGATTCAAACCAACCTGCACTGGTCCCCTTCTGCCGACAACGTGTACTCTTTTTATCCTACTTCGAGACAAGATTGCAAGAGCATGCTCGGTGATATCGGTGTTTCTAAGGACATTTATATCTTCCAATAGAATCCTAGCCACATCGAGAGCAACATTGCCCTGACCAATGATGACAGCCTCTTGCGCATTTACAAGTGCAGGATCGAGACTGGAACATTCCGGCAGGCCATTGTACCAGCCCACAAACTGACGTGCTGAATATATGCCATTTAAAGTCGACTCCCCGGGAATTTCAAGTCTTTTATCTTCTGACGCTCCATACGCCAGTAGTACGGCATCATAGTGCTGCATCAACGATCTTAATCTCACCATTCCTTGCTCTTTAGCGCGGCTGCAAAGACCCACAGAGACATTCCCTATGAACCTGAACCTCGGGGATGATGCAACATCCTCGAACTTTTCTTGACAGTTCTACGTACGAGTTACTTATGTGGCTCGAAGAAAGACAAATATCCACAGAGACGCAGCCATACCTTTACCTCAGGATGATCAGGAGCAACACCATGGCGAACCAGACCAAACGGGACCGGCAGCGCCTCGTACATATCAACATGAGCATCTGGGAGTTTTGTCATGACCCTATAAGCTGTATAGAAGCCAGCGGGACCAGATCCCACGACGGCCATGCGAAAAGGTGCCTCAGACGACCGGCTCGAACTTGCGGCTGCTGTGGAAAAAGTCCTCAGTGGCAACGAGCATAGTAACGGCCGGCATGAGCGACAGAACATTGTCCTCGTAGAAGATCGATCAAACTGACAGAGTCAAAGGAGAGAATAAAGAAGAGAACAGAAAAGACGGAATGAGGGAAAAAAGATGGGGAGGGTAGCAAATGAGCGAACGATAATCGAAAGCCAACCAAATAAGTGCCACAGCGGTGTATTTGGAGAGGTTCTGAATTTCTGAGTCTATACCGAATGATGGCTGGTGGCCCAAGCGGTAGGTTGCTCACCAGTGGGTCGAAGGTCGTCAGCGATTTGGGACTATGTCCGTACTAGTACTACTAGCCCGATGTTGCTGTGCCAACCAAGCTGGCCTTGCGGGAGTTCCAATCACACCCAGATGTACCGTTTTGGAAGGATAATGCTACAGGTAGCCGGAACGAAAGACATCTCCCATTGTCCTGGTGCTCCCGCATTCCAACAACACGTTTCGTTCATGCCACTGTGAGTGTCCATGGTAGAAAGGATCTGGTTTTAGGTTCATTACTACTTTCATTGGCAAATCGGGCTCGACACTATGGGTGGCTCGCAGCCATTCATGTATAACGCCGCATGGCGAAATGACGCGAGGTTTCCCGCAACCACTTTTGATCCTAAGGCTGTGACGCGGGCCAGCTGGGAGCCAAAGCCTAGGAAACCGCCTCCAACAGGCCCTCTCATCTCATTCGACCGACACCCTGAGTATGTACTGATCAATCTCATGCAGAATGATGAACAGATGGGATAAGTCTCTTGTCACCCTGCTAATACATGCCAGTGCCCATATGGTCGTTTCACACCGAAATAATCCATACTTGCCACTTGGACAGCGAATGAAGAAATGGATCAAGGGATTACGGAATGTTCAGTTTTTGATTCGTGTTTTGGAAATTAATGCAGCCATTGGTTCCCTCGTCCTACTCATTCTCATTACAAACATTGACGAGGCCACAGGGTGGATTATGAGAATTTCGGTACGTCGTATGCAACAGGATATTGAAAATAGAATGGAATTGACAGTACTTTTAGCCCGGTGTCGCCATCGCTCAGTGTTCATACGCGATATATCACCTATCTCGGAACGCCTCTGGTCGTACCCCAGGCTCCTCAGCTGCCTATCACGTCTTTGCTGCCACCTCCGATCTGGTATTCATATCTTTATATGCATTCGGGGCGTTTTCCACCCATAAAAACGCGCAAACTTGGGCCACTAGGCTCAGTGACCAAGAGATCATGAAGTACTTTGTGCCCGCAGTGTACTACATGACGATTGGAGCAGGAGGCTTGCATTTCATATCACTCTTGATCTCTTTGTGGCTTGGAATGATGTTCCGTAGAATTAGCCTAATGCCGCCGGATATGAACCCGCTCGAGGATCATCTGACAGCGAGGCCATTCCATAAAAGGAGCAAGTCCTCCATCACGACCGGAAGCAGCCTAGAGGGAGGAAACAGGCTTTCTACCACAATAAGCTTACCGGACGGGGCGGCTTCAGAATCGTGTGGGAATCAACGGCCAGCTGCTGTGCCATTTCTTCATACAAGAGCGGGTTCCAGCTACTCTATCTCGAGTAGGGGCTCACAGGCCGATCTTCCAAACAGGATGTATCAACTTGCTCCCAGCAACCATCCGCGAAATTCGCCTTATTCATCTTCCGAAAAACAATGTTCAGCGCCACGACCATCGCAGCTTGGCCGCTATTCCTCCATTCCTGCTCCAGATGCCCAATCATTAAGAATGGGTTCAGCGAGTAGCAATCAAAATAAGGGCCGACGTGGAAAATCCACTGAAAGTTGGATGCTGACTGATTTTTTTATTCCGAGAACTGACCAGCGCAATTGCAGTGGCACTATCGTGCCAACTTCTAGTCGCGCAGTTCGGGACGGCAAATCATATGCTGCATTGGTTCCGGCATTCCATGAAGCCGATTCAGCAGAATCAGACCACGACGATAAAAACGATGTGACATATAACAGTCCAGAACCATTGGTCTCTCCTGAAACACATCCAAACCCACTTGCGTCACATCCAACAGCTCTACATAAGAGCAATAATTTCATGGCCACAAGATCGAATCAAGACCGTGACAACTATCCACGCGAGGACTTTACATTGCTCTCAGAATTAAGTAGCAATTTGAGGAAGGTAAACAATAGCCAAGACATCACGGACCGAGAACCCGAAGTGGGAAGGCCGTGGAAACGCCAACGAGACAGCTCCATTCAGCTAGATGACGGGTTTTACTCCAAGCCGTATGGCCAGTTGAGAAGTTCAACCCCACCAATCTTTATCGGAAGTGACCGAAAGTTGTCTTCTGGGGTTGACTATGGATTAAGGTATAGCGGTGGGATGTCAGGAAGGCGTAATGTGAGCGGCAAAGTAACCGAAGAAGGTCGAGGATTCCGGTAAGCTGGAGGCACAGAACTAGAAAGCTCCACAGAGGTCAAAAGGAGTAGGAGCTCATTGCAACACGAACCCTTATCTTGGAAATTATATGGCGTACGCACACAAGAACTTACACTGCAAGGCCGGGATAATGCTTGAGGGATGGACATGTGGCGTAGGCTGGTGGTATTGGGAATTGCGCATTTAGTTTTTTTTTTTTTTTGAATACGATCGTTACTTTGTTACTTGGGTGGGACACTGAATGGAGGCCGCTGCCAGTCAATTATCCATACTGTATGCGAGCCATGATTCTGTTGTAGAATTACCATGCAAATCAGCCACCCACTTTGCCTTGTCCCAGGCCAGCAGAGAGCAAAGATGACGCATTGTCGGCCGCCCATGCGGGCAATTCCACGGCTTATCTAGTTCACCCATGTGCCTTACCAGCGAGTACATTTGGCTTGTAGTCAAGGGTTTACCGATCATGATACTGCTCCGACATGCCCTCATTGCGAACATTTTACGCACTCTCGACGGCCTGGGGATGTGCCGTGAACCAGATGACTCCTCAGCAAGCAATGTGATCAGTTCCTCCAAATCGTTAAGTGTAAAGGTCACTTCACGGCTCAAGGGTAATGCCAAGAGCTGGCAACGCGCCCCAACCGGCGAGCCTCCTGTGGAATCCACCTGGATTTTGAAACCATTGGCTTCTAAGGCTGGTAGATTCCCAAGAACAATTTCTTCCTCCAGGGCCGTCAGCTGGAGTGCTTTGGGGTAGACAAGTCGCTGTGACTGAATAACAGTATTCACTTGTAGTCGTTCAAAGTTGAATTTTTCGTCCGAAGCATGTTGATCTATTATAAAGAGCTCATCCGCGTCATCAGCCTCATGGCATGTATGCCGGTGTGATTTGGGACGCACTGCGATGATGAACCCTAAATTAAATTGACCGACCACTCTCATCTTCGAGAAGTCATCTTTTGCTATAATAAGGGGGAGCTTTGATTCGGCGTCAGATGCAGTGATGTCTGCTACCCTCTCCTCAACTGGACCTGAAATGTTTCGGACTGAGTAGGCCAACCATGAGCTGGAGAGGGACGCTAGTGTGGCTTCAGTTGCTCGTATTATCTGTGAATGTTGAGCTGTTCCAAACTTCTTGCGTAGTCCGTCTCCCAGAGCTCTGGTTCTACGAGCTGCCGAACTATTCGCATGAGGCCTTCTGTTGGTATCTCCTTGAGCGACATTATCTTCATCGTTTGAGTCAGATATGGATCGGCCAATGTGCTCGTCTTCTTCAATTTGTGGTTGGTTAGAATGTGGCGTCACACATCTGGCGCCCCCTAAGTTCTCCATATTATCTTTTGCCATTCCCTTGGGATGAAGAGTCGCTGCTTCCGATAGCTGGGCCTTCGTATTAGAGGAAGAAAGCTTGTCGTCAAGGATAGTATCTCCAGTACTTTCCGGGTCAGATGAACAACCCGAACAGCTATGCTGAGCGTTTCTCTCTTGAAATTCGCTGAAACTGCAAACTTTTCCAGTGTGCCCTGAATTGGGAAGATGAGAAGAGTGCGAGTTCTCTGAAGTTTGCGGTACCGCTCCCTTGTGTGGCTTCTTCTTCTGGATAAGCAGTACAGTATCACCATGTCCAATTGTTTGAACTAAAGCCGTTGATGGCCCACTAGAGATGGCATTCCAAGAGAACGCCGTTGGACTTCTCGAATCCGATACGGCTTCACTAGGCTTGTGGGAATTGGTTCCGTGGTCTACCACTGTTGTATTCCTTGGTGCCGTATCAGCGATAGGATCCACGCGCCTCAAGGATTGGCTTTGTGGGGTCTGTTCTGTATCTGAGTCGGTTAATGCTGTCGTCTGACTCGAGGCAAATAAACTCAAGCTAGGCCGGTTCTGTTTGACATGCGTATTTTGGCTAGTTCTGTATCTGAGTCGGTTAATGCTGTCGTCTGACTCGAGGCAAATAAACTCAAGCTAGGCCGGTTCTGTTTGACATGCGTATTTTGGCTAGCAGAGTTTGAAATCGGTGGTCGGTTTGCATCACACCCAAACCACTTTGTGAGAGATTCTGGTGCGATTTTGGCCCCTTCCCTTCCTCCTGAGGCAATCTTCTCCTCCCGCATTGCCAATTGCGATGACTTCCCTTTAACAAAGCCAGTGCTAGATGGAGACCCCCCATCTGGTTCACTATGTGAAGTCGCGGAGAGCTCAGATTCGGAAGTATAAGGCGGGTTTTCTCTAATCAAAGGTATTGACCGCCTATCAGCATCGACGGAAGCTGGACAACTCGGGGTCTCTGTAATGAGGACCTGAGTTGTAGGTAGTTGATAGTCATGACTGTCGAACAATCTGATCAAAGATGAACGAAGACGATCGAGCAACAAGCTTTGATCATGAAGAAGAATGCTCCGTTTGTCAGGACTGACATTCACATCATACATTTTTGTATCGAGCTGAACATCGGCGAATATGAATGGCGACTGAGAGATGTTGTAAGCCTTATAAACTTCGTTGAATGTCTTAGCAAATTGTGGCAGCCCACATGGTCTTCCATTCACAAAAAACATTTGCCGATCTGGGGCTTGCCTGCCGTCTCCATGAACTGGACGCGAAACATGGCCCAGGATGCGCACTTGCTTGGACTCTTGATCAGTCCGTAAGTCCGGACCGACATTTGATGGATGCATTTCTAGCAGCAGATCCAGAGAAACCAGGGTAGACATTGCTTTGGAGCCGAATATATTGATTATATTTTCGCGAGTGGTGGGGTTACTCTTGGTGGAAAATAGGATGATGCGCTTTCCCTTGGTAGGCTGCTGTGATACAGAAAATTTGAGATTGGTCTGGACGCAAGCATATTGATTAAGCAAGGCAATGACCTTATGCCATTCTCTTTTTATATTGCGCTCTAGCTCCCGGCGACGCACTGGCAAATTATGGAACAACTTTTCAACCGATACAGTAGTTCCTCTCTGGGATGCCACCATTGTTGTGCTTGCGAGTTTGCCCGAGATTTCGAAGCCAAGTTTGCAACCCCTCGGAACCTCAGATTCAAGGCAAGTGGTGATGGTTACAGACGATAGAGCACATAAAGATGCCAGAGCTTCTCCTCGGAATCCGAAAGTCCTCAAGGACGCGATATCGGAGTATGACGATAGTTTCGAAGTATGGTGCTTCAAGGCAATGGAAGGATAGTTGGCAGGGCAGATGCCCGAGCCATTGTCTTGTACTTCAATCAAGTCCAGGCCTTGATTTTTGAAGCGCACATCTGAAGTTTCGAGATTGTTTGGTCAGCATAGCGTCGTTGTATATTTTCGTACTGTATTGGGGCTACATGACCAAGGATGAATCCCCTTAGAAGTGCGGGTGGCCGCCATATAACAATATGCATACCTATAATGGTGGCACCAGCATCAATGCTGTTCTCTACTAGCTCCTTCACGACAGAGCATAGGTCTACAATGACCTGACCAGACTGTATCAGATGGATCTAAAGATGTGAGCGATGAGTAAAAGTCAGTCTCACGTCGTTGGACCTCCCAAAAAGAAGAAAAAGAGAAAAAAATAAAAGGGAAGGCAAGGCAAAAAAAGGAGAGGATGATAGATCCCTCGGCGTGGGTTCAGAACTGCTCACACTTCGTCCTTCTATAGGCTTGATTGTAGCTGCCATTGCTCACAAGCTTTCCGAACCTGACAGAATCTTGGTTGAATGTGAATGTGAAAGTGCCATGGAGCTGTAAGCTACTGCACTTCGTAGAACTGAATTAAACACAGGGAAATAATGCAAATCGAAATGAGAAGGCCTGGTGTTTGTGATGCCGAAAATGCATGAAGCATTGACGAAGATGGTTGTGACTTCTCCCAGTAACTTGTTGTTGATGTGTCTGACTTGAGTACGCGTTGGCCATTGATAGGTGGGATATGCTGGCGCCCCACAAAATCCAAACCAAGCGATGTGGTGTATATTTGGCAGGCTCCGTGGGAGAATCAATCGCGTCTACGGAGT